GCCGGAATTACAGGCATGTGCTACCACGCCCGGCTGATTTTTTGATTTATTGTAGAGATGAGGTCTCGCTGCCCAGGCGGGTCTCGAACCCACGGGCTCAGGCAATCCACTCACCTCAGCCTTCCAAAGGCACGGGATTACAGGCTGAGCCACCGAGCCCGGCTTATACTTGGGCTCTTAAAGAATCAGACTCATAGGAACCAAGTAGAATCGTAGTTACCAGAGACTGGGGGGTAAGGGAAATGGAGAGATGTTAGTCAAAAGGAAGAAAGCTGCAGTTGGGCTGCTCTGATGGTAGTGGTTAACATTAGTGTCACTAAAGTTGCTATACAACTCCCCACTGCTGTTTGGCTGGCTTTTAAAAATTAACAAAAAAGAAAAAATAAAGTTGTAGTTAGAGAGGAGGAATAAATAAATGATAAGTTTTTAAGGTAATGGGTATGTTAATTCATTTGATTCAATCATTTTATACTATATCATAACATCACTGTATGCCCCATAATTATTATATATGACTATAATTTTTCAAAAAAGATCAACTTGGAAGAGATTATTCAATTTACCAAAAGTGAATATTTTTTTAATAAGGGGATCCATCTTAGGGTTCCTTTAAATAGCTTTTAGGGGTATTTTAAATAATGACTGTAAGGATTATTGAAATTAAAGACCTAATGCATTCAATATAGTACTGGGCGCATAAATTGGATACAGTGTTTGTAATGAATAAAACCAATCTGGTTTTAAATTATATTTGTATTGCCCCTTCAGGAATGCATTTATTCCATGGAGTTATAAATATATAAATAATCTATTTATAATAATATAATATTGTATAATATAAACATTGCAATATATTTAATTATAATATAACAATATTTAGAATACACAATCTATTTTTATAGTTATATAATCTATTTAAATATTTATAAATATATGTATGTATTTATATATAATATAGAATAAAGTATATTATATATTATATATAATAATATAGTATTATATAATGTAATCTATAATCTATTTATATATTTATAATCTATTTATAAGTATATAAGTAATCTAACCAGAAAGAATGAGACTTCTAACTTCTCCCCAAGGTAGCTCAGAGCTATTGATGCTGGTTCTGGAGTCATAAAATCTGCCTGCTCTCCTATGGACTGCTTAATTCCTACCAGTCCATTCAGGTAGATTAAATATTGAAAATTAAGCCCTTGTTTACTTCAGATCATCATAAAGCATTTCTGCAAGTGATTTCTGGGTTTATTTCAGCATTTGGTTTGAACTCTTTCCTGCAGAAGTCATATAGTTTGCTTAGGTAGCCATCACTGTGTTGTTGAATTGTAGCCCTTTACCAGAGTCTAAGAATATCATTAAGAAGACTAAGTCATGTTTCAAACAACTCTTAGTTCATTTATTCAAATTACATCATGTAATTTGGATTGACTTTGGAAAATCTTCACATATTGGAAGGGAGATAAGCTGACTTAAAAATAATCAAGTTATGTCAAATAAGGTAATGCATAACAGCACACATATGATTCCAGTGAAGATTATGGGCAAGAACTTGTATAATTTAACCAGTACTACCAGAAATGGTCAGCAGAGGGAGTAAGAGGAGTTTTTAGTGACTTTCTGTTGGTTTTCTTTTTGTTTTTATGAACTCAAAAACAAGAGATGAGTAAAAGCCAGGATGAACTTCCTCATGAACTTGAGAGCCAGTTTATACTACGTCTGCCTCCGGTAAGAAACCTTTATGTCTCAGAGCAAGTATCTTCAGTGCATAAGTATAGTTCTGCTTGGATCCTGTAACATTTCTATTTCAAGCAGGCTACAACACATTTGTTTTTCAGGAATCATGTTCTGTTAAGTAGTCCTATCCTAGTGTGTACTCTTTCAGCAGCATTTTTTTCCTTCTGTACATACCATCTATCATGTGGGTTGGTTTCCTGGTAAATCAGCTGTGACAATGATGGACCTAGTCACTTATCACAGATAATAACAGCCTGTTTCGTGGACAGCCAAGATAAGACACTTCCACTTCTGAAATTATTTCTGTCACTTCAAAAGGGGCAGTGAGAAGGACCAACACTATGTCTCCTGTAAATTAATCACCATACAAGACTGTCAAAGCTCATCTTAACAAGTATTTGAGTCTCTTCTCCCACCAGTACCTACCTGTATTCAAGCATTACTTAGTCTAGGAAGATATATATATATATAATAATCAAGTTATGTCAAATAAGGTAATGCAATATATATATTGAATTGAAGTCTCACTCTGTCACCCAGGCTGGAGTACAGTGGCACGCTCATGGCCACAGCAGCCTCAACCTACTGGGCTCAGGCGATCCTTCCACCTCAGCCTTCCAAGTAGCTGGAACTACAGGCGCATGCTACCATGTCCAGCTAATTTTTTTGATTTATTGTAGAGACAACATCTCGCCAAGTTGCCCAGCCTGGTCTCGAACCCATGGGCTTAGGCAATCCTCTCACCTCGGACTCCCAAAGTGCTGGGATTTATAGGCATGAGCCACCGCGCTCAGCCTAGGAAGCTATATTAAGGATGGGGTTCAGAAAGCTATTTCCCCCATCTGGGGTTAATTATTATACCAGGTAAATTGTAGCTAAACCTTTCTTTAGAAACTACAACTGAAGGGTAGGAGTGAGAGGCAGAAATGTAGAGCTAGGAGAAAACACTAACTGTAATTAACTGTAGCTACTAAAAGACAATTATGAGATTAGAGTCAGCTTCATCCTAACTTGACCTATATGGTGGTATCTCATGGTTCATGGCCTTGTTAACATTTGGGAGGTGTAAGGTTTTATTTATTTATTTATTTATTTAATTAATTTATTTTTTTGAGTTGGAGTTTCACTCCGTCGCCCAGACCGTAGTGCAGTGGCCACTCCCGGCCACTGCAGCCTCGACCTGCTGGGCT